TTCCCCGTATATTTGGTGGAAAACAACAATACTATGATTGAATATAAAAGTTAAAGTTGAAAATGTGGTTCAGTGAGATAAACTTTAGTCAGCCAAAGGAATTACAATCTTAGTACATTCCAAAGATATTGGTTCGTACATGAACTACATTAAGGATCGAACTAGGCTACGTACATGAGGAAGTAAATTAGAAAACAACTAATCCAAATTAATTGTCTTAGACAAGAATTGAGTGTATAACCTGTCCCAGACAAGAACAGAGTGTATTACTGTATCCATACACCAAAGCACCCCATCGGTATAGCCAATGGTCGACCTTTTTGTTATAAGCGGTCATTATTTATATTTGAATTATAGCTGGATTAAGATGTATTGTAATCCAATAATTGCAATACAACTGTCGCATAATATCATGATGCCTTTAATTATAATCTATATATACTTTCTGTGATTAGTCATTGGATTAGAATAAGTCTATGTAAACGTTATAGGCGTGAATGATATTATATGACTGTTTGTATTATTCTAGTCAATGTATTATCAAGATCTTAATAAAGTCTAGTGAGAAGAACAGTATAAAAACCAACAACTTGCATACATTTCTTTTTCTACAAGCACTACTTTACATATCTTGCTTAAAAAACCTATTATTTGGAATATGTTACTAGAAAAGTTCAAACGAATATATAGCACTACTTTAAATAATTACACAAAAACAAATGATTAATGAATAACTCAAAAGGTAGAAGGAATAAAACTGATAAAACGTATAAATTATTCCTTTTTATTTTTATTTTTGTCTGCAACGTCTAAACTAATCTTTATCCAAAAAAAACGTCTAAACTATATACATTAAAAAAATTTATGACAGTACCATTCTTATCTGACTCTCTCCCTCTCATCGTCTCGTCTATATAAAACCTCTCCTCAATGACTTTATCTTTGGGAGAGAAAAACTGAGTAAGAAGCTTTTCATCAATGGCGATAGAGAAGAGCTTCAAGTACTTAGTCGTTGGTGCTTGTGCCTCTGCCGTACGTCACTCCAATTTTTCTGATGATCATCTTCGACTTTTATTGGATCACTCTTTTAAATTTTCATTCTATTCGTGTTTTCTGTTCTAATTTCGCTTATTACGACTCATTGCTTTTGTTCGCATTCTAAAATCTATGCTTGCTTAGCTTTCGACTTGGTTGAAGTATATTCTAGGGTTTTGTGTTGTTTCTCTAGATATGTTTGATTTTATATAGCAGTATTTATTTACATTATATGAATTTGGTATACTTTGGTTGAATAAAATGTTTGAGAAATTTCCAATATATAGAGAGACAAATCAGAATTTGTAACTATCGATATATAATTACTCTTGGGAATCACAGGGTTACGCGCGGCGATGGAGTTTACCAATCAGGGCCTGAAGGCTGGTGAACTCGCAATCATTTCCAATGAATCAGTATGTTTTTCACTCTCAAAATTAGGGCTTGATTGTTTTTGGATATTTTTTTGTGTCTTTGATTCTTAGGTCTCACTTGTTTGTTTAAATTTGTGATTATGCTATAGTAGATTGATTTCTTCCATATGAGACCGTATCTTTAGTATTTTAAATCATTTTTGTTTCTGTGAATTGTAAAACGCTAGGGCTAAAAGCAAACAGAAAACCAGTTAGGGTTTGGTACTTGCGTTTACATCTTCCACAAATTTTATACGAAAATTGTGAATTAATATTTATTCTCTTACAATGTGAAGTTTCTGTATTTTTCCTTTGCTCATTTAAGCGGAATGACAATTTACCAAACACAGAAATCTTCGGATGAATGAAAAACTGATACCATTTTTGTGTGTGTTGCAGGGGCCTCCTTATGAGCATCCTGACCTAGCCAAGGGATGTATCGACTTCAAAGGTATCCAATCTTCACTCTATAACAGTTTTCAATTCCTCTAGTTTTACTTAACTTCAAGCTCACTTCTTAATTTCACTCCAAAATCCAAATGCTAGTGGTTCTGAGAATCATTCACCTCACACTGTTTCACTTACTCCTTAATTTACAGGAATTGAATTGATTCTAAGCACTGAGATCGTCAAATCTGATCTTGCTGCAAAGAGACTTGTCACTAGTGATGGAAAAATCTTCAAATACCAAACTTTGCTAGTTGCAACTGGCTCTACCGTGAGCACGATCTCTTCCTCTTTCAATCTTCTTGTTGTCTAAGTTTCTTCTCGAAACTTATATCTATTCTTCATTAACTTTTACAGTGTGTAAGATTGTCAGAATTTGGCGTCCAAGATTCAGATGCTAATAATATATTTTACCTGAGAGATATCAAGGATGTTGATCAGCTAGCTTTGACAATGGAACTGGAAACAAGTAAGAAGAGAAAGGTCGTGGTTATTGGCGGCGGATACATAGGTTTTGAACTCAGTGCTGCTCTAGCGATTAGCAACCACGATGTCACCATTGTATTTCCAGAACCTTGGATTAGTAAGTGGAGGCTTGAGCTTTAAGTCAATTTCTTTATGCTAGCTAGCCATTACAGATAACTAAATCCTCTGTTTTCCCCTGTTTTCCTCTGTTTTATTGTTGTAGTGCATGGCCTTTTCACTGCTGAGATTGCTTCGTTCTACGAGGGTTACTATGCAAATAAAGGAATAAATATAATCAAAGCTACTTTAGTTAAGGGATTCAATACCAACTCAACCGGAGAAGTCACGGAGGTGAAACTAGAGGATGGAAGAACTCTAGAAGCTGACATTGTGATTGTTGGTATTGGTGGTAGACCGATGACATCGGTTTTCAAAGGTCAAGTTGAAGAGGAGAAGGGTGGAATAAAGGTTTGTGACTCATGCAACTATTTTCTCTTTCGAGATTACCATTATTACTCATTGATCTTCCTTTAATTGTAGACTGATGGGTTCTTCAAATCAAGCGTACCCGATATTTATGCCATTGGAGATGTAGCCATCTTCCCCATGAAACTCTACGGTGAGATGAGACGCGTAGAAAACGTAGACCATTGTTGCAAATCCGCTGAACAGGCCGTTAAGGTACGAATCGAAAATGTCAAAAACCCTTTTGATCTAATGTTAAGTTTACACCCATATCAACACTCTAAAAGCTTCAATGGCTAAATCATAATCTCAAAATTGTGAAGAGACGTTTTCCTTTAGACTTATAAGCCATTCAATATTCTCTCTGGTTTATTCAGGCAATCAAAGCAGCAGAGGAAGGGACATTGATCCAAGAGTATGATTATCTTCCCTTCTTCCACTCTCGAGCCTTTGATCTCTCGTGGCAATTCTACGGAGACAATGTTGGAGAATCAGTACTATTCGGAGACAACGATCCGAAATCTCCAAAGCCAATGTTTGGGACTTATTGGGTTAAAAATGGTAAAGTTGTTGGAGCATTTCTAGAAGGAGGAGTTGAGGAAGAGAACAAGGCCATTGCAAGAGTCGCACGAACACAACCTTCAGTTGGTAGCCTTGAGGTCCTGTCCACTATTGGGGAGTTGCTTATTGGAGGATCAAGAGTGAATAGAAACAGGGTCTTAGTTTCTTGCAGGGTTTAATATTTGTTGTTGTACAGGAGTCTTCCCAAAATCTATCAACTAAAGATTAAATAGTTTTCTTGTTTGAACATTTTACATTTTTCTATCAAACAGGATCTATTAAAAAAAACAAAATGTGGTTTTACATTTTTCTTTCCACATATATTAACTGAAAATTTTTATATCTATTATACTGTTTTTCTTTTTGGGATTAAAACCCTGCAATTGTTTTTCTCGATCGATCTAAAGTATAAGGAAAATGTAAGAGAAAATTGGAATTTTCTTTCAATTTTTTTTTTCTGATTGAAACTATAAAATAA